TTGTTATAATTATTATTGTAATGATTAATGCGATTAGTGTATTTCTATCAATACAGATAATACCGACTCATTCTTCTATCATCATTTATATTTCTTGATTGATGTGAACTTCTTCTATATTTCTTGATTGATGTGAATTCCTTCTTCTTTGGTTATTTGTTTTTCTATATTTTTTGTGGTATCTTCTGTAACATATTTTTCCAAAATAGCAAATAACATCTAATGGAGAATAAAAATAGTTGTAACATTGCAGTATTGGATAGGGGGTATTAATATTTTTTAATAAATTCAATGTCATGGATAGACAATAATTATTGAACCAATGCATATGTCTCGGTTACAGTTTCTCTGCTGTATTTCTTATATGTAATATTCGAGTTTCAATGATGAATTATGTAAGAAAATAAAAAGCAAGAGATATTAAAAAAGAAATGTGTAAAATGTAGCATAATTGAAATAAATTATTCAAATTGGGTTTTGTATAAAAATTATCAACAAATAGATTTTTAAACAAATAATTATTTATCAATCAAACTTGTTAAACAAAATAATTATTTTTCTTTAACATTTTTAGAATTTCTTTTTTGGTTCTTTGTGTTTCCTAACAATACTTGGTTGCTAAAACAAAAACATGTTTTAAAGTATTGAATTAAAATTTATTCTTTTTCTTAAAAAAGTTAAGAAAAGAACCTCTTTTAATTTGGTCACTTTTTTTCTTCTGTTATAGTCAATTATGCCTTTGACAATACAACCACCAATAAAAACTGCAGCACCTAAACCATTCATGGTATCTTCAAATTCTTTATTTTCTTTATTCTTTTCCTCTTTTGGTGGATCTCTGTAAACATATTCCGTGACGTAGTGTGTGACTTGTTTTGGGAACTCTTTGACTTTGGTTGTAGAACTAACAGTTTCCCAATTTGAATAACTTGGTTCATCTTCATCGTAACGAAATCTCTTCTCTCTTACCAAGTGGTTGATTTGAGTTGTTAATTCTTTTTCTGTTTTACTTATAACTATTTCTTGATCTTCCTCTTCTAGAATAACAGATTCATAGACAATGTCCCTCTTTTCAACTTTGTTAACATCAATCGGTGATAATTTTCTTGCCCAATTTAAAAGGGATTCAATTTCATTCTCTGACCTAGAGTTATCTTGTCCTGTACATGGGTTTGAGTCTACAAAAAACATTGGGAAAGTTATATGTTCACTTCCTGTTTTTTGGTTAATATAATCCATCATTTTTTCATTATAATATGATTGTTTAATATGAATAGATTCTTCTAACACAGCTTGAGGGTAAAAACACATGCACTTTGTCCATACTACACAAACATGTTTCCAAAAGCCAACAATTGGGAAGGTATTAGCTATTATTCTAATCATTATTTGAATAACCTCTGAAAATTTATCCTCATGAAAAGGTAATACAACAACAATACATTTTAATCCTTCTCCTTCTTTTTTAATATAATCTACCATTTGGTTCATATATTCTCTTTGACTTTCTTGACCTTTGGAATCGTTAAAACCAGGAGTGTCAATAACAAATATATCACTTCTATCACTTATTCCGTAACATCCTTTTGTTTCATTTGTTTGAGAATCAGGATTAGAGCTAACACATTCTTTTTAAGTATAAAATTACCAAGTGAACTTTTACCGTGACCTGTTTGTCCCATCATAAGTAACTTAGTTTGTTTCATTGTCTCGTGATCGTTGATTGATAGTTGTTTACAACTCCTTTAAATACTAGTGATGAGTATAAAAATAATTATATGTTATTCAATAATATTCTTGTTTGCATTTATTTTATCATTTAAAAAAATGGAAAGCAAGAAATTGATTTTTTGAACAAAAATCAACAAGAAACATAACCTCATTCCAAATTTAAAAACTAATTTTTGATTGTTTACTAATTTAAAAACAAATTTATAATTTATTTTTATACATGTCATAACATAATTTTTTGCATGTTATAATTAGACAAATTAAACTAAATGAAATGAACTTTAAGAGGGGGTATCACTATTGCACATCCCTTTTACTTTTTTTACCAAACTTTTCTGAAGAAACGACTCAATACAATTTTTTATGTTCAACTTTATTTTTTCATGACAACAAAAATAATGTCTATATATGAAAACAATTTATTTTTATTGAAATTGCATTGAATTATATTGATAATAGATGACTTATACAATATTCTTCAATTGAATATTTTATATTTTAATTATATGATACCATAATTTCATCTTTATTTTCCTATTGTTTTTTTTTCACTATTTTCATTTGACGACAGGAAGTTGACCAATGAAACAATTTCTTGAAAAAGTATACCAAAATTAAAACAATTCCAATAAAATGTGATTTCAATACATTTATTTTTATATAGATTTCTCTCTGAAATATATTGAAATAATCACGATTTTTTCAAATAAACAAGAGTATTATACAAATTAATACAATTTCTGTATTAAAATATTTATTGTTGATTAAATTATTTCACTTTAATATATGTTATTATCTATAACACTTTAATAATAACGATATGAATACAGTTATGCTAAACAAACCATTCAGTATTTTCGTTTTCTCTAAAACCAAAGTATGTAAGTACATTCACAAAAATAAGAATTAAAGAAAGAACTTAAAATTAATTAACATATATGTATGTATCAAAAGAATAATACGATCAGGAGAAGATATGATTAAAGTCATAACAATATTTTCAATTTAATTTATATTTTTCATCATTGGAAATAAAATAATTATTACCCAGTACCTCTTTATGGTTTTTAATAAAATTGTTGTTTTGGCAGTTTTTATGGATAAGCAAAATACAGTCAAAAGTTTACTATTTTCAAGTGTTATTACTTTTGTTCATTTATATTAATGAGACTCTCTCATTATACAAATTTATTTTATTAAAAATAACTATTAAATATAATTATAAGTTAAACCTCTTCAATTATAGAGTTAAAGTAAAGCCATTACTCCTATTAGTATCAGGAATATGTTTACTGTCATTTGTGGTGTTCCATTACTTGGATTTGGTGGATTAACACATACATCCTCAATACATTTATTGTTGATATAATCAAATTTATATCCTGAATCACAATAAGCTAGTTACACATTTTGTACTCCATTCTCCATTATCCCCACATTCATATCCTCCATGCCCATGTTCTACTTTAATTTCTTTATCACAGTTACTATCTACTTTAACCAATCTTTTATTCTTTGGATTACACTTTGTTTTATACTTTTCTACTATTTTCAATGTTTCTTCTTCAAATTCTTCTAAGTTATTATTTGAATATTGATAAATGTTCACTCTTTCATCTATCATATCTGTCAGAAATTCTCTAGGAATAGTTTCATCATAATTATAATTATACCTAAATGATTCTAAGAAACTTAAACTAAGTGAATATCCATATTTAAAAATATTATATTCAGAGCCACATAAACCAAAAACATAATTTACTACTGTTGGTGATTGTCCTACTTCAAATTCTTCATCTTTACCATTAGGGTCACCATTAAATCCAACAAGAATAGCACTTCCCCATTCTTTTAATCCTTTTGTCAACATCGAACAAGCAGAATAACAATATGAGTCTGTATAAACTACTATTTCTGTTGGTTTTCTTGGATTTTTCATTAATTTCTTTTTTGGAAAAACTTCAATTGATGTCTGTGTAACTTTATGTTCAACATCTCCATATTTTATTGTTTTTGGTTTTAAATACCACAGATATAATTTAAGTCTGCAAATTACACTTTTAAAAACCCACACAATTTTATTCAAAAAACCTTCTTGATTCACTCCTATGCATTTTTTAAGCTCTTTTTTGTCATACAAATTTCCCCTTTTATTACATGTTTTGGGATCAGATAATATATCTCCTTCGATCCCTGTTTTCAACATTGCTTCTGTACATGTTGAAATTCTTGCTGAAACTATCATTCTTACATCATTATGTGGTGCAAATATCTTTTCTATCCATTGTTCAGATTTTCCTTCTCCTCCAGCATTCTCTGGAAGGATTACTTGAATTGGATATTCATTTGAGTCAAATAATTTGATACAATTTAAAACTATTTCATTATACCGACTAAGTGAGTCTATACTTATAAACTCTTTCAACACAAAAGTATTCACTTTTTTGTCCGAAACTCTACAATATATAGGTTCAACTAGTGACCCATATTCGTTTTTTAATTCTTCGTTTTCAGTCGATTCTATTGTTCTGTTTATTGATTTTAAACTTTCTTCTTCATTATTATTTTCTATCTTTTCTGTGTTTTCTTTATATCTTGAATTATATCTAAGAATTGAATAATTAACATTATCACTTTGTCCATTTTCCCACACAATATAAATTTGTTTGTTCAAATAATTTTTTGGTAATGGTTGCGAAGTTAGTCCTCCTTGTGTTAATGCGTAATCAGATTCTGTTGATTTTGCTAATGTAAATTGTGCGTGTGGACATTTCAATCCAATATATTCT